AACTACAAAATTGGAAGTGGGATTCTCAGGGCGCTGCGTGGAACTTCCAGCAATCCGAGTCTCCTTAGAGGCAGGCAAACTGTCTTTATCAACAGGGATGTGTAACCACTCTGGTCTCCTTCTCCTTCCTATAGAGCATTCTCTTCGGCAGCAAGGCATTCACAGCACAAAGTGCAGACCCTTATCTGCCAGCCGTGGACTCTTACTCTAGGTACGACTTTATTTACAAAGACATCTTAAAGCCGAAATAGCAGCTACTGTAGTTATTAAGTTCTAAAAACCCACTATAGTTGCTACACAACTAGCTGACATACAGCACGCTGGAGATCTTTTTAAGGAAATTATAAAGTATAATCGTGTTAACTCAAAAAACTCTGATTATATCTTTTTTTTATTTCTCTGGGTTAACCCAGTTTTAAAAGAAATATGAGCTATAATAAAATTGAAAAGTAATTAGGAATAGAAAACATGGAATTAAAAATCATTAATCTGGGCAATCTAATTGAAAGAAATATTGCTAACTAGAGCCTGGATGCTATACATTTTCGTTATACAAATGAGCCCGTAGCCGCTCGGCAGCGATTATCTGTCATGCAGAAGATCTTCTTTGCGGATTGTGAGGGTGTTTTCTAGCCTCTGTGATCACCAACAGCTCTGACAAAAGGTGAGAAGTGGGAGACGGGAGAGTGGCATGCAGAGACCAAGAGCAATGCCACAGACAGGGTTGGCTGGTCTGGATGAACAACCGGTATGTCCTCTCAGTGGCATTAATAACGAAGATAAGATCAATCAACAGTGTGCCTGTTCTACAATGCGCTGCAGATGGAATCCTTTGTGATGGCAGAGAATTGCCCTTTCAGACACTTGGCGACTCTGGTAGATATTAAGAGATGGTGGCTAGGTCAGAGCTTCTTTAGGGTTCTCACTAAGCCTGGGGGCAGAGCAGAGCAATCTATTCTTTGAGCCACATTCATCAGAGGCACGAGACAGGGACTGAACACTCTCCCAAGACTTCTTTGGGGTCTCCGGTCCCTTGCAGCGGAGACCCTGCTGGTTCTCACTGAAATATCCTGTTCCTCAGAACAGCTTTCCTTCTTTGCTACCTCCCTGCAGTCTTTACTACATCTTGCTTTGAATATAAGAGAGCAGGCTGGAGTGATGGCTGGCGTTTTGCAGCCCATTCTTTTTGTAAGGATACCTTGCTCAGCCTAGATATGGGGGGAGGGCCTTGGTCCTGCCTTGAAGTGATGTGTTAGGCTTTGTTGACTCTCCTTGGGAAGCCTTACCCTCTCTGAGGAGTGGCTGGGGGGCTGGGGTGAGGTGAAGGTGGGGGAGCAGGAGGAGGAAACAGAGTGGGAACCAGGATAGGTATATAAAATGAGAAAAGATTGTTTTTTTCTAAAAAATTAATTACATATGTATATATGTACATATGTATGTATACACACATAATATAATATAATATAATATAATATAATATAGCACCTGTAGCATCTTTTTCTGCACTGTGGTCCCCTGCAGTGTGGTCCCCTGACACTGAGGAGCCCAGGGCACTGAGCAGAGGGAGGAAGAGAGGACCCGGCACAAATCTCTGCTTCTTTGAGGTATTCTGAAATGGAATCTTTAGTTCTATCTTCACAGTGGCCAGAAAAATACTTAGAAAAGACTGTCACCATAAAGGCAAATCAAATGTCTCAAAGTGGCGCCGCGGCCTTCGTGCCTCCTCTCCTCCTCCACAGAAAGGCCAGTCATCACCTTTCTATTTTGGTCCCACTATGGTTCTGTAGGAACTGTCGTTTCTTCACTGCGGTTTCTGAGGCGTTAAAATAACCTCATTAGCTTCACTCAAACTCATTGTTAACACACACAGGACAAAGTAGGCGGCCACGCAGAGAGCTTTAACATTATCAGCCCTGCTCTACTTAAGTTCTGAGCAACATATTCAAAAGGAAGAAAAAAATCCCTGGTTTCTCATATTATTAGGATAATGTGCAAATAATAGTGTGGATAAGTTTTCATTTCCTGGAAATGACTTAAAACAACTGACAATGCTGAACTTAGCTCAGGCTGGAGTCTCCACACCCAGGTGGCCACTCTCTTGAGTCATGTGGAAAATATGTCTGTGCAGCTGCTGGCAAAGAAGTGAGTTCTGCTTCCTCAGAACCAGTGGCAGCGCGCCTGCGAAGGAAGGTGATGCTGGCCGGCTTACGGCAACACTGCCCCGGCTATCCACTCTCAAGTCCAAGCCCAACACTCCTTGGCAGTATTCCACTCCAGGACTGCCCAGTTAGAGCTCATAAAAATAGACTAATTCCGCTGGGGTCAGAGGCTCATCTTTCTTCTCCACCCTAGGATGCACTGATGCAGAGGGAGACGGACTGCACCAGAGGACACGAGAGGTCACCCCTGACTCCAGAGAGCAAGGCAGGCTGGCACTGGCTCCTCTGCCGGCCAAACGCTGCGGCTGTCTCGTTATCTCAGTCTCTCCAGATACCTTTGCTTCAGATTCCAGCAATCGCAGGCTAACATCTCAACCGTGTTTCTCTTGATTTTCACTATGTGCCTTACAAGGAAGAGTGTAAACCTTTAACCCTGGGGAGTTCTGGACATCTGGTTAACCTAGGACTGGACCGCTAGCTTTGGCCGAGCCTTTCGATAAGTGCCAGGTATGTATTCAGTCTTTGTGACATTTACAGTAGCTTTTGAACCAAACAGCTGCAAAGCAACCACTGACAGTATGTCAACAAGTGAGAAAGCCTGTGTGCTAATAAAATTTTATTTATAAAACCATGCTGCAGGCTAGGGAGATGGTTCAGTGGATAAAGTGCCTATACAAGACCAGAGCTCAGATCCTTAGAACCCATCTAAAAGGTATGGCAGCTGGCTGTAACCCCAACACCAGAGAGACAGAGAATGGAGATCCCTGGGGAAGCTTGCTAGTTAGATCAGACAGAATCTGCAAGTTCCAACCTCAGCAACAGACTTTGCTTCAATAAATAAAGAGCTACTAAGGAAGACACACCCAACTTCAGACCTACATACACTGTAAAAACGCACACAGACACACACACATACATACACAAACACACAGACACACACACGTGCACTTGCATGTGCTAATTTTGGGGAAGGGAGTTTCAAAACGGGGTTTCTCTGTGTAACAGCTCTGACTGTCCTGGAACTAATTTTGTAGAACTAGGTTGGCCTTGAACTCAGAGATTCACCTGCCTCTGCCTCAATGCTGGGAGTAAAGTTGTGTATCAGCACCGCCCAGCTTCAATGTGCTAGTTTTAAAAACTGTGGTTAAAAACACATGAAATGGAGCATCTTAGTCATTCTTAAGTGCATGGTCCCATAGTGTTCACATCACTGTGGAACAGACCTCTGGCATCTTTCCCAAATGCCGACTCTAACTCTAATCCCATTACATAGCTCCTCCTTCCCATGTACCCAGCCCTTGGCATCACCATCATGTAGTATGTTTTCTTACCCATTTATCTATTCCCCGCTGGGAAATGGCTGCTGAATCCATGTCTCCAGAATATGTGGGCATTGTTACCGTATTACCCAGGTACTAGCATGGCCCTGTTCTTTCCTCTAAGGCTAAACTTACTTGTCTCTTCATTAACCTATGAGCAGGCTGTTCTTTAACAGTATTGCTTGTTTTAGACACTTGAGTTTTGATTGTGTTTATCTTCTACCATGGAGACTGCTGCCATGAACATGCAATGCTTATGTCTCTTTGACAGTGTGCTTTGGATCTTTTGTGACATATTCTAAAAGTGACCTGAAGAACTATAGGGGGCTACTATTTTAGTTTTACTTTTTTTTGGTAAGAGTTTTTGTCTGAGTATGTGTAAGTGCTCCACATGCATGCCTGGTACCCATGGAGGTCAGAGGAGAGTAATAGTCTCCTAGTATTGGAGTTACAGCACAGGCAGTTGTTAGTAGCCACACGGGTGCTGTGAATTAAACCAGAGTCCTCTGCGAGAGCAGCCAATACAGCAAGCACTCTTAATCTCTAGTCCCTTCATTTTTTTTAAAAATATTTTTTAACATTTAAGGAGTCTCGCACTGGTTTCCACGGTGGCTGTCCCATTCACATAAAATGCACACAGGGCTTCTGTTTCTCTTCATCCTTTTCAACACTTGTCATTTTTTAGTAGTTTAATAGTAGCCCAAGCCAAACTTGGAGAGCTATTACGAAGCTGCCAAGGCCTTCCCTGAACTAAACTCTGAATACAGACTCTCCCAATACAACCACTTTTGATTTCCCAGGAAACCTTTTCCTGGGCTGGGGAGGTGGCTCAGTGGGGGAACACGCTTGCTGTATAGACAGGGGGGCCTGAGTAGGACTCCAGGTATGGCAGCTGCTTCGGTGATCTCAGAGCTGAGTCGGGGTGGGGTAGAGGCAGAGCTCACCGTGCAGCCCGTCTACCTGAAATAGTGAGCTTCTGGGTCATTGGCAGACCTTGTATCAAAAAAACAAAAAACAAAAACAAACAAACAAACCAAGGTGGAGAGTGAAAGAGGAAGACAATAGAAATCGACCTCTGACCCCACACATGCACACAAGTGAGCGCCCCGAGACACACACACACACACACACACACACACTTGCATGCGTGCACAGTCCCTTATCCTAAAAGGCCAGCAATATTTTGATATGAATTTTTCTTTTGACTTTAAGTTTACGAGTCTGTGAGAAGTTCCCAGCAGGAGAAGTTCCGGCAGGAGATGCGTGCACTAACACACTGAAAGCGGCCCAGCTAGAAGCAAAGTTTAAAGCTACATTTTCACATCTTGCTTAAAATGCCACCCATATGTCTATTTCCCAGAAAAAGCAACGTGACTACAAAAGACCAACTATAGGGTGAAGACATAATTTATTTCATTAATTTTGGTCCCACTACAAGGGAAGAACCGGGAATCCCAGCAATCGGCTGGGGTGTAAGCTAAGAACGCTTGCCTACAGGGGCATGGGGAGAGCCCAGCTTTACCTTGCTCTTCTGGAGCAACTCGTGTGGCTGAGTTTTCCTCTACTTGTTTTCTAGCTGCGTCTTCTTCTTCTTCAGACCACTGCATGTGATCCCTATTAAGGGGGGAAAAAGAGAAAAACATGGTTGACAAGTAGGGAAGGCGGAGTCCATGTGGCCAGGCCTGCCATCTCACATCCTAGACCAAGGCATACAAAGTGGCCATGTCACACAGACTGGTTTCGTGTTGATGTTGCTTCCTAGTGCTAAGCGCCACCCTGCAACTCCTACAGGTTTCCTGTTTAAATCTGGCTGTGGGAAAAGCCAGCCACCTTTGGGAAATGGCTGCATTAGTCACGTCCTCAGAACATTCCAGTGTGTTACTGTCTGTGGGCTGGGGTATTCTGGTACTCTACTGCCGGAAATGTGTGTGAGCACACGAGTGTGCACCTGTGTGTGTGTATGTGGTTCTTAAATGTGGACAAGTCAACATCAGCTGTCTCCCTCCATTCACTCTGTTTTGATTATTTCTTAAGATTTATTTTATGTATATTAGTGCTCTATCTGCATGTACACCTTTATGCCAGAAGAGGGCATCAGATCCCACTATAGGTGGGTGTGAGCCACCATGTGGTTGCTGGGAATTGAACTCAGGACCTCTGGAAGAGCAGCCAGTGCTCTTAACCACTGAGCCACCTCTCCAGTCCCTTCTGGACATCACACTATACCTTATTTTTTGAGATAGGGTATCTCACGAAACCTGGCACTCACCCATGGCTAGAATGCCTAGTCAGCCTGTCTGGCCAGACCCCAGCTTTGAGGCTACAGATACATGATGTCACCACACCCTTTAAGTGTGGGCTCCAGGGACTCAAACTCAGGTCCTTAAGCTGCAAGACGAGCACTTTACCCACTGAGCCATTTCCTCAGCTGCAAGATGCAAGTTTTAAAATATTTGGTTCTAGGTGCCTCGTTAGCGCAGTAGGTAGCGTGTCAGTCTCATAAAATATTTGGTTCTCTAAATTTTTAAAGTAATTTAAGTTTCATTTTTCTTAAAAGCTATTTCAATTTCAGGAATACATTAATTTATATTTAAATGAAATGATACGTTTTGTTGTTTTGAGACAGATTTCATTGTGTAAGCCAGGCTGACCTCACACTCATGATGATTCTTCTCTCTTTTCTTTTCTTTTCTTTGTTTTTTTTTTTTTGAGACAGGGTTTCTCTGTAGCTGTCCTGGAACTCTGTAGACCAACCAGGCTGTTCTCAAATTCACAGAGATCCACCTGTCTCTGCCTCCCAAGTGCTGGGATTAAAGACGTGCGCCACCGCCCAGCTCTTTATTGATTCTTTGGGAATTTCATATTATGCACCCTAATTCTGCTCATCTCCTGGGCCCTCCATATCTTCCCCTAACCCCTGCAGTGTCCCCAGAAGAAAAATTTAAAAATCAAAACAAAACAAGCAAACAAAAATAAGGACAACAAAAACCCCTCTTTGTTTCTCTTTCTTTCCTGTCTCTCCAACACCTCCTCATTCATCCTGGTGGCATCGGGAGCAGTGTGTCACACAGTATGTCCTTTTGTCTAGTCTACCCCATCAATGGAGGCTTTTTTTTTTTTTTTTTTTTTGGTTTTTCGAGACAGGGTTTCTCTGTGCCTTTGGAGCCTGTCCTAGAACTAGCTCTGTAGACCAGGCTGTTCTCAAATTCACAGAGATCCGCCTGCCTCTGCCTCCCGAGTGCTGGGATTAAAGGCGTGCGCCACCATCGCCCGGCTGGAGGCATTTTCTTAATTAGCTGTCAGATGACCTTAACTTGTGTCAAGCTGACATAATACAAGCCAGCACGGATAGCTACAAGAAACAATGGGGCAGTGTGGAGGCTAGACAGGTAGACCCTGAGCTCACTGGCCAGTCAATACAACCAAGTCAGGAATCTTCTCTCTCACAAAAATAAGGCAGACAGCAACTAAGAAATACATGCAGTTTTGAGCTCTGTCTCCACATACATACACATGCACACAGGCACCTATAAACACACACACATGCCCAGAGAGGCTCTGACCCTGTTATCATACGGTATCATCTGAACAATGAAAAGGGATAAATAAAATTCGTGATGGCTCAAGAAGACTGACAAACATCAGCCGAGCAGTTGGATTAAATGATCATAATCATAGGCATCACCGCCACTTCTTATTTACTGCATGTCAGGCATCACACAAAACACATTTCATATATTTGTCTTATTTGAACTTTTCAAAACTTCTGTAAAAGAGTTATAATCCTGCACATTCTATAAGAGGAAACAGAAATATAGCCAGGCAGAAACCAAATTCAAACCCAGATTTGGGTCATGTATAGTTAGAATTTCCTTTGGCTGCCAATCAGCTCCCAAGTAGCCACAGAGACTTATTATTAATTATGAAAGCTTGGCCTTAGCTTAGGCTTGTCCCACTAGCTCTTTTAACTTAATTTAACCTGTTTCTATTCTTCTATGTTTTGCCTCAGGGCTTTTTACCTTTCTTTATTCTGTATGTCCTTCTTTCCTGCTTCCCCTGTGCCTGGCTGGCCCCCAGCATCTCCTTTCTGGTGTTTCTTTTTCTTTCTTCTCCTGAGCCTAAATTCCTCCTCCTTCTTACTCTCCCTGCCCAGAAGTCCCACCTATACCTCCTCCCTTGCTATTGGCTATTCAGCTTTTTGTTAGACCCATCAGGTGCCTTAGGCAGGCAAGGTGACACAGCAACACATCTTCACATAATTAAACAGATGCAACACATCTTTGCATAGGTGAACAAATATTTCACAACAGTCACATCAAAGTCCATCCTCACCCCCTTAGTTCATTAGTTTCTACCAAGGTAGCTGGGAGTGCTGGGGGTTTTAAGACTTAACTCTTTCTCCATCAAGGGCATGTGTCTCTGTCATTTCTAGAGTCTTGGAAGTTGCTTGCAAAACACTTCCTGTTTACTTAGGCAATATTAATTTCTTCAGCGGTCTTGGATGGAGTTGAAGACTAGATATTTATGGTTGCAGTTTTCTTTAAATATGAAAGAACATAAGTTAGGTGTATAATTTCGGATTCACTAAGATAGGATAGATAATGCACTATTTTCTCTGAATATGCTAACTACAACTATACAAAATATTTTAAATGTAATTCTAACTTGGTAACTGTTTTGTTGTATATAGTTTTACTATGTTAAAGTCAAAACGTTCCTTTTTATTTAGACAAAAGGGGGAATGTTATAGAATATCATTTTAAGGTGTGTTATATTTGTTTATGCTCTGGAACATCTGCTGAATGATATAAAGATGTGCTGCTTTTGTTTATGCTAAATTTGTTTAACTCTGTGCAGCTGTGATTCTTTGCCTGTCTAAAACACCTGATGGTCTAATAAAAAGCTGAATGGCCAACAGTGAGGCAGGAGAAAGGATAGCCAGGGTTGGCAGGCAGAGAGAATAAATAGAAGGAAAAATGAAGAGGAGAACAGAAGGAGCAAGAAAAGGAGGAGAGGAGGATACTAGGGACTAGTCACCCAGCCAGCCACAGAGTAGGAGTGAAAATAAGATATAGAGAAGTAAGGAAAAGGAAAAAGCCCAGAGGCAAAAGGTAGCTGGGATAAGAAGAAACGCTGGCTAGAAACAACCCAAGCTAGGACCAGGCATTTCTAACTAAGAATGAGCCTCTGCGTGTGATTTATTTGGAAGATGGGTGGCGGGTCCCCCCCCCCCAAATCAAAGAGTAAAAAGCAACCGACAACAGGCGTGGGTTTTCTTACTGCAGAGAGAGAAGGGAATGATGAGGCAGTGGCATGGAAGTTAGCACTGACGGTAGACACGATAGCTCAGGTAGCTCAGCCAGTCAGTGCTGTCTGGGAAAACGGGAAGGGCACAAAGGTGGGTTAGGGCTTGGGTTGGAGGAAAGGCGTGCGCGCACGTGTGTGTGTGTGTGTGTGTGTGTGTGTGTGTGTGTGTGTGTGCGCGCGCGCGCGCAAAAACGACTCTCCCAGCGGGAGGCTGGCAGTACAGACAGGATACACACAGGGAGCAGTAAAAGTGTGTCCACTGTGACTGCTTCTGTTTAGCAGCTGCGGGTGAAGCTGGGAGCTGGGTAACGGGATTTCAGAGACTGGGGAGTACCACGCAAGACCACGAGTGGAAAAAGCTGCAGGGAGATCGGTTAGATTGCTGTGGTCCAGCGGTGATAAACCCTAAAGTGGCGGCAATGGGAAAGCAGAAGGAAGAAGACATGGAGAAATCTGCTGCTGTAGTCTAGCCATGAACCACAGACTGGGGAGAGTGAGGCCTGACTGTAAAGACACAGCATGAATGTCTAGGAAAGCGGGGTGAAATGGCAGAATAAGGAGTCACCCTGGGAGGCAGAGTGAGAAGCCTGGTTCTATGCTAAGCAGTGTTTCTGCAATCAGATCCGTGAGTGCATTCGGGTGGCCTAGTTACCTGGCTATAAACACCTCTATTGAAAGGTGAGAAACTGGTTCATTCTTTCCTCTTCCCGCTCCTCACCACCTTTTAAAAAAAAGTATCTTGTTATGAAGCCCAGACAGGCTCCAATTTGTAGTAATCCTCCAGCCTCAGTCTCCTGAATGTTGGGATTACAGACTCAAACTACTGTACCCAGCTCTGCTCTTCTAAAAAGGATGTTGTGGTCTCCAGGAAAAGCAAATGAAAATTTAAAAAATTTCACACATATTTAACTACAAGTCTCTTTTTTAAAAACCCAGTCACAACCCAAACTGGCACTAAGCATTTTCGTCATTTGTTTTAAAGAATGTAATTAAACTTTTGTTTTTACTTAGTTACTGTAGAGGTGATCCTATACAAACTAGAGCTGCCAATTGCTACTTTATATACTGTTCACACACACACACACACACACACACTTTTGATGTGACAGCTATAACACTAAAATGAACAAGTCATTTAAAAATTACTATTACTAAGGCTGGGATGAGTTAATCGTCTACAAATTCCTACAATATATACAAAAGAAACAGTTGTGGTAGGAATGGGGCCAGTAGCCCCAACACTCAGGAGACTGGAACAGAATGACTTGAGCCCAGGAGCCAGGTTCAACAGCATGGTGAACCCCATT